GCGCCTCCACCTGCCTAACCTGTGGCCCGGCTGCCACCATCTGTGCCTACAGGGTCTGTCCCCCAGCCTGTCCTACTAGTGTGCTCTCTAGAGCTCCCCACAGCGGGCAGGTGCTGACCTCCTGGCCTCTGCCCCCACTCCTTGCTGACCAGAGTATAGAAAAGCCATACTGCAGCCTCAACACAATACACACTACTGTAACCCTGCCGATCTTCCCCCTCTCCTCCTCCCTTCATACCCCTTCCCCAGATGTGTGAGGTGTCAAGACTCTTCAGGAATCTTGCCTTACAGCCTCCCCCCAGTCAGCAGAGCCATAGGCAAGCCAAGCAGGTTCCTTCAGGAGCTATCTGGGTGTCGACGCTGCTGAACAGGTTTGGGGACTCTTCTGAGCACAGCGGCTCAGCACTGTTCCCACGCCCCCATCCCCCCAGGAGGATGCGAGGTGTGAGCCTGTGTATCCCTGGCCCCAGGCACCAAGGGCTGGCTACACAGCTCCACTTCTTCCAGGGACCCAAAGGGAACTGGGCCAGACCTGGGAAGACTAGCTGCGCCCAACACAGGGCCGCTCACCTGCTGTCCACTACCTTTTCTAACAGAAATAAAGAGCCCTCTCTTGCTGGAGCCTTGAGTGTGTCTCACCCCTTTCCTTTGGGGCCTTGGGTGCGGCCGGCTGCGGATGTGTGAGAATGACTGTCTCCTTCACAGCCCTGGCCAGATAGCGCTGCTCTGGAGACAGGCCTGGAGGGACATGGGGAAAGGCACCTCTTGGCTCTCTCTCTCCAGAAGTCCTTTCCTCCCCAGAGACCTTCAAGGCTTAGCTGAACTTTGAAAAACTTTGCCTAGTCCAAAATAGGGGGTGGGAGGTGTCAAACTCCAGTCTGAGGCTCACATTCCCCAATTGAGCCCAACCCAAGGTAGGTCCATAGAGCGTCCTTTCTCTCATTCCCTAGATGCTTTCCCACATGGACACTGTACCCTGGGGTGGTACACATCTGTAATCCCAGCGGGAGGATCAGTTCAGAGCATCCTCAACTACACAGTAAGCGCAAGGCTAGCCTGGGCTGCACACCCACAGAAGTGAACTGACAACCAATTGCTCAGGTCTTCCAATTCCACTGTGTTTACTGTGGACCATGTGCGCACACACAAACACAAGATAAGTAAAGATAAATTAGAAGAAAAAACCAGGCTGGAGGGATGGCTCAGTGTTTAGAAACACTGACTGGGGCTGGAGAGATGGCTCAGCAGTTAAGAGCATTGCCTGCTCTTCCAAAGGTCCTGAGTTCAATTCCCAGCAACCACATGGTGGCTCACAACCATCTGTAATGAGGTCTGCAGGCATACACACAGACAGAATTTTGTATACATAATAAATAAAAAAATATAAAAAAAATTAAAAATAAAAACCACTGACTGCTCCTCAAGAGGACCCAGGTTCAATTTCTGGCACCCACATGGCAGCTCACAACTGTCTGTACCTCCAGTTCCAGGAGATCTGACACCCTCACACAAGTATAACATGCAGGCAAAACACCAATGCACATAAAGTACATTGTACAGTAAAAAGTAAAAAAAAAAAAAAAAAAAAAAAAAGCCTAGGCAGGCAGGATTGCTGTTGCTGTTTATCAGGGCTTGCCTATGTATTTGTTTTTTCCCCCGGTAACCAAAGAGAAAGGTGATCTCAGCTCTCTTACAAATGAGAAGAGACTCAGGGAAAGTCACTGAGCCAACAACTGTGTGACCCCAGCAGGAGAGGGTGGGGTTTTGGAGAAGCCCTAAACTTGGAGATGCCATACCCAGGAGGGGGCTGCCCAGCCTCCTGTTACCAGTGGGGAGGCCTAAGCCCAGGGGCAGGAAGGGACCTGTCCAAGGCCTCTTCTGACCCAGCTGGAATGCAGTTCTACACACTGACCTCATTCGGTTCTGTCTCTACAAATTCCACACTGCCTCCTACCCTAGACTGGCTTAGAGGGGGGCTCGCTCCAACAGCAGTAGTGTAGAAGGAGAGGAGGCAAACAGGAACCACCTGAGCATCCTCCGCTAACCCTTCCCAAAGGCAGTAGACAGCTCTCGGTTACGGAGCTGAACTCTTAATGACCAATCACAAAGCCCTCTCTCTGGTCAACTGTTGAATTTGAACATTCCAACGCCAAAAAATTACCTCGGAAATTACTAGAAAAGGTTTTGCCAGTTGTGGGAGATTCTTTCTAGACTCTGATAAGAATCCCTCTTCCTGCAAAGGATGGCAGTGACCACCAGGATGAGGCGAGCACCGGGACTTTAGCCTAATCTGTCCTGCTGACTCAGGCAGCCGCTGCAGAGGTCCACGCTCTGCCGGGACCTGCTGCCTCCTGCCTGCCTGGGCTCAGGGACTTGGGAAGTAGAAGCCTGGAGGCAAAGGGAGGCGACTGACACAGGAACTGAGTCAGATCTCCAGGCCAGAGCCAGCAGGAGTGTCAAGCAGCCCGACTTCAGTGAGGAGCAGTGAGAGGCTTGCTAGGGCCCGACTGTAGCCACCCACCAGGTGCCCGGCTTAAGAGGCGTGAGAGAGCACTCCCTTCATGGGCTTTGAATTTTGCCAGGCCCCAAGGTCCAAGCTCCTAGTGTCCTGGGATCTCCAAGTTGCCCCCAGGACTTGGGGAAGCCTAGGCTAGATGACTAGTGCCAAGGAAAGCCCTTGAGGGCTGAGCGGAATGTTTCAGATGGAAAGGGAGGAGTTGGTGTAGATTGTACCATTTGTCAGTCTGGAAAGAAGTCTGGGCAGAGGACCCCTTCTCTGGCGTGGACACCTGGCAGGGCCACATGGTATGGGCAGTTTATGATCTTTCCTCATCCATAGAACCCAGCTACAAAAGAAAAAAAAAATAACAACCAGGGATGGGGGCTGGTGATGTGGTTTAGCTGGTAGAGTTCTGGGGACTCATGGGGACAACCCCAGCACTACCGCATACACCAAGCATGGCAGCACTCGTATGTGGACCAGACCAGCCTCGAACTTGCTGTTTATCAGGGCTTGCCTATGTATTTGACTGTTTTTCCCCCAGTAACCAAAGAGAAAGGTGATCTCAGCTCTCTTACAAATGAGAACAGACTCAGGGAAAGAGAGACCCCCCCCCCTCCTCTGGTTCTGCCTCATGAGAGTTGGTATTACGCAGGTATTGCCAGTCTATACAGGACTGGGGATCCAACTCCATACAAGCTAGGCGGGACCTCTACCAACCGAGTTGCATTCCCCATCTCTCTTTTTTTTTCTGGGTGCTGCGGGGGTGGGGGGCGCAGCCTGTCTCTTTGGAGCCAAGCTGGCCACCAACTGGAACTCCTCTGTCAGTCCGAGTCCACCTGAGTGCTGAGACGCTGGGCATGCCTTGCTGGGTCCTTCCCCAACTTGATATTTCAGAGTAGTTTCCTTCCTCCCTTTCCCGTGGCTGCGCTCTGAGCCCTCGGATCTCAGGAGGGGAACCCCACGGAATTAGCCGGGATCTGGAGAGCCCCTACTCCTGTGACATAAGCACATCAGCCCGTGTCTTCAAAGTTTTGGCCTACACCTCCCTCCCAGAGGCAAGGTGCATGGTCAGGCACGAGGAGGAGGTAGCAGAGGGAGCGGGGGAGGGGGGGCGGCGGAGAAGCGGAGAAGACAGGCAAGACAATGTTATACTTAGTAGTCCTGGTTCAAGGATTCGGTTGGCTGGGTCCCAGGAAGAAGGTTCCTTAGAAGGGACTCTGGAGTCACATTTAAACTGTGGGGGGAGTAGCGGGGGCAGATAAGCAGGAACCCTACCCCCAGTGCCCATACTCTTAGACGCTAGAAGACAGGACCCAACCAAACAAGGACAGAAGGTTGGGGACAAAAGTGGTCTCCATCTCTGAGGACGCTTCTCTCTGGCTGGAGACCAGGGCCTCGATCAAGAAGGAACTAGAACCTCCGGGAGCCGAGGAGGGGCGGATCTCCCTGAGCTGGAATGACTGCTCCATAAAACAAAATGGTACGCGTCACTCCTGGCTCCTTCTCCTCAGCCCTGTCTTCCTGCCCAGCTGCTAGCGTCCCCCCTGGGGGACCAAACTGGACTGAGCACCCCGTGACCTGCTTCCCAGCCTCTGACGAGGCAATCTGAGTCAGAGTGGGGCAGTCAAGGAGCTGCGCCCCATGCCCCCGCCTTTCTGTGAGCCCTGCTGATACCTGACGGCAGGCAGCCTGCAAGGACTGGTGACCTGATGTGGAGAACTAGCGAGGAAGGGCTCAGACAAGTGTCAACAGGCCACCAACTTAAAAGGGAAAATTGTGCTGTCATGGGGAAGGTGTCCAACAAACCTGTGGGGTGACTAATTACAAAGACTAGACCGGAGCTTCAGAGGCCACTCGCTAAACACTTCATTAAATGGCACCCTGAAATGCCACCTGCGCATTCTGGGTGTTCAGAGGGGACCTTGAAGGAGAACTGGTACCAAGGGATGGAACTGTCTTCGGGCCGACTCGGGCGAAGTCTGGCTCTCAATTCCAGATAATGGCTCCCGGGCCAGAGGCCTCAATGTGGGAAAAGTCAGAAGAAACAGCTTGTGACCTTAAGCGGTTTCTCCCCTTGAGAGTTGATGCTTCTGCCTCTACAGTCCCACAGAGCATTCAAGGGGATTATATCAGACCATGGGGTGCTAAAGTGTTGGGAAACTGTATAGCCCTGCCTACACGTGAATTCTCATTCATCCCAGCCCTCTGCACCAGCTCACTAGGCTCTGCCGAGGCTAACGTAGCCCAGTGGCTGAAGTCATCCCTACCCCTGGAAGGACACCCTAGAACACCCTACCCCGAAAGACAATCTCGTTTGGTAATCCAGAACGCTCCTGCCCTGCAATGCAGCTCTGAACAGCAGGGGGCAGTCTGGAGCCTGAAAGGTGCCTGTTCAGGTGGGAGCCACAGCCAGGTTTCTCCCCGCTGACTGTCCCGATGACTCACCCCGCACATCCCAGCCCTTTTACCTTTAAGGAAGAGCCGGAAAGGGTGTGGGGAGAAGAGGAGGAGGCAGGGCCCAAGGCCCAGGCCCGCCCAGGCCCCTCCCAACCCTTCTCCTGGCCTTGTCACCCCAGCCAAAAGGCAGACGGAGAGCAAGAGCAGCACAGAATCCAGCATTGGTCTCACGGCAGCCAGTTCGCCCGCCTGTCTGTCCTCGGAGTCATGGAGAGAGCCAGTCTGATCCAGAAGGCCAAGTTGGCCGAGCAGGCCGAACGCTATGAGGACATGGCAGCCTTCATGAAGGGTGCCGTGGAGAAGGGTGAGGAACTCTCCTGCGAGGAGCGGAATCTGCTCTCCGTGGCCTATAAGAATGTGGTGGGCGGCCAGAGAGCGGCCTGGAGAGTCCTGTCCAGCATCGAGCAGAAAAGCAACGAGGAGGGGTCGGAGGAGAAGGGCCCCGAGGTGAAAGAGTACCGGGAGAAGGTAGAGACAGAGCTCCGCGGGGTGTGCGACACCGTGCTGGGCCTGCTGGACTCCCACCTCATCAAAGAGGCCGGAGAGGCAGAAAGCCGCGTCTTCTACTTGAAGATGAAGGGTGACTACTACCGCTATCTGGCTGAGGTGGCCACTGGCGATGACAAGAAGCGCATCATTGATTCTGCCCGCTCAGCCTACCAAGAGGCCATGGACATCAGCAAGAAGGAGATGCCGCCCACCAACCCCATACGCCTGGGCCTGGCCCTGAACTTTTCTGTCTTCCACTACGAGATAGCCAACAGCCCCGAGGAGGCCATCTCACTGGCCAAGACCACCTTCGACGAGGCCATGGCCGACCTGCACACCCTCAATGAGGAATCCTACAAGGACAGCACCCTCATCATGCAACTGCTGCGAGACAACCTGACGCTGTGGACAGCCGACAATGCTGGGGAAGAGGGTGGAGAAGCTCCGGAGGAGCCCCAGAGCTGAAGCCGTCTGTTCCCTCCCTGCCCTGCCTTGCTCTCCAGTCCCCAGTCAGCAGAGAGGACTAAGACGGAGTGGGACCCGGCCCTTTCCCACCCCCTGAATGTTCTGCCACACCCTGAAAGCCTCCTTGGAAGGGGTGCAGCCAGGCTGAGGCCACCAGGGGCTGGGGATCCCACACTTCATGCAGCTATCTGGTGGGTGTTCCTAGCCCTGCCCACCCCTGCTCTCTGCACCCCGACTTCCTTACACCACTCCCGAACCTGCCCCTGCCTCCCCCCCCCACTCCTCCATCTCGTACCTGTTGCTTCTAGATCCTAGGAATCGAGGAGGCTCCCACCCCTGTGGCTGGGACCTGGACTGAGGCAAGGGCTATCTATGTGTGTGCGTGCGACTGTGTGTGAGAGAGAATGAGAAGAAACACATGTTTGCTGGGTGTGACCATGTTTCCTCTCAATAAAGTTGCCCTGCGACACTCCTGTCTTCTTCAGTTTATTGACCGTGGACTGGGAGTGGAACGAAAGTGAGTTAGAGAACCTGACCCTAGCACACGGAGTTAGGGTCTAAAGTTCCCTCAGGTCTGCCTGGGTGACCTGGAAGGGAGAAGTGCCTTTGGGTCGGGTGAGAAGCCCCACAGTGCTCCGGTTCAGACCAGGTCAGCAGAAAGGCAGGTCAGGAGAGGAGAGGTGAGCAGTTGCTGTGGGCGGGAAAGCCGCAAAGCTCCGATGTGGCGGGAGCCACGAAGCCACTGAAGTCTGAGTACAGTGGCCTCAGAGATGCGCTTCACGAGGGGCACCCAGCACCTCAGATCTGAAAGCGGGAGCCGAGCACATCAAGGGCTCAGGTCGCAGCCGAGGTGTGCAGGATCGGAAGCAGGGGCATAGTGCCTCCACTAAAAACCCAGATCTAATAAGGGAAAGCTCTCCAAGCCCCAGTGATTCAAGGTGGGGCCCAAAGGAAACCCGCTGGCGAGGTGCCGGCGCGAGCTGGGTGGGAAGGGCCGCTGGAGTCCGGCTGGACCAGTCCACGGCCCGAGCACCTTGCAGGCAGCGACTTGCACCAGCGCTCCGAAGCCTTCAGCTTACGGCCCAATCACAGGACGGGGTTTCCACAGAATCCGCCCCCGGAACCTAATTGGCCAATGGGAGAGCGAACGGCGAGTATGTCCCGCCTCCCGCTCCGCTGGCCCCGCTACACCTCGCGGAAAGACGAAGCTGAGTCCCCCGCGGTCCGCGAAGCACAGCGGGGCGGGGCCTTCCCGGTTTCACTCCGACAAGTTGTCACCCGCCCGACTCCGGAGCTCGTCCCCCACCCCCGGGAGCAACGGGACAGGGCGGGGTCGTGCGCAACATTTAGTTTCCTCCCTTTGAGTCATCGACTCACCTGGCGGTGTCTGCCGGAAAAAGTCCAAGACGCTCCTCGCCGAGAGCATCATTGGCTGGTGAGCATCATTGGCAGACCAGCCGCTGGTCGCCAGCAGGCTTAAGTTATGACCCTGATTCGCTTTGCAGCCCGGAGAAACCATGACATCGCCCTGCGCCTCAGTTTCACTTTTGTATCGCTAAAGGTTCCCCAGTTATGCAAAGTGAAAAGCGGGGACCCTGCTTGGGTATAAGGCTTAAGCTGCCGCGCTTGAGGCTTTTAAAGTTTGGGTCCTCTTTTGAAAACGGTTAGGAGTGGGAATTTAAGAAGTTCCTTTCTAGGCAGAGCACGGTGGGCCGTGCCTTTAACCTGAGCACTCTGAGGCAGGGTGGAATTATCTGAGTTCCAGGTCAGCCTGGTCAATGTAGCAAGCTCCAGGTTATCCAAGGCTACATAGCAAGAACCTATCTATAAAAACAAAACTACATAAATAAAAATTTCGAAGTCCAATTCTAGCCAGGCGGCAGTGGAGCCCGCCTTTAATCCTAGCACTTGGGAGGTAGAGACAGGTGCATCTATGAGTTCCAGGCCAGCCTGATCTACAGAGTGAGTTCCAGGATAGCCAAGACTATGAAAACCCTGTCTCCGAACAAAACAAAACAAAAACTTCAAGTGTAGGCAGGGCATGGTAGCACAAGCATTTGGGAGGCAAGAGCAGGCAGATCTCGTGAGTTTGAGGCTAACCTGGGCTACATAGGGAGTTCCAGGCCAGCAGGGCTATATAGTGAGGTCCTGTCTCCAAATAAAATAAACTAAAATAAAAAGGATGTGCACTGGAGCAGCGGATGGTACGTGCTTACTAAACATTAATCCTTCCAGGAGCTGGGGTGTGGCTCAGCTTATCGAACTTCCAAGGACCTGGGCTCAGGCCCCAGTGCTGGAAGGGGAGATGACCCTGGGAAATGTTAGTAATGAAGTCTTCTGGCCAGTGTCAGTCCTTCTGGGATTTATTCAGAATTTCTGACCCAAAACACAATGAGCATTTGGTCCAATCATTACTAAAGTTGCTCTTGGTGCTCTTTGGGCCTCCTAAGAAAGCTGGCTTGGGGCTGGAGAGGTGGCTCCATGGTTAAGAGCCCTGACTATTCTTTCAGAGGACCCGGGTTCAACGTCCAGCACCCACATGGCGGCTTACAACTGTCTGTGACTCCAGTTCCAGGAGACCTGAAATTTCCCATGGCAAAACACTAATGCACATAAAATAAGAAAGAAAGAAAGAAAGAAAGAAAGAAAGAAAGAAAGAAAGAAAGAAAGTTGGCTTGGCAGCAAGAAGAACTCTTTTTGGGAAAGTTAAGTGAGCTCAGCCCAGACTTACTGGGTTCTCCAGAATCCAGGTTTGGCTACACTACACCTATGGTATTCTTGTTAGGGGCTCCTGTTACAGCCCCTAGCTCTTGAGGGAAGCTGCAGCATGTCTTTGGAGTCTTCGGAGCTTTCCGGGTCCTCTGCTTTCTCATTTCCTGGTGATGTATGGGGTTTCAAGGTTCCCAAGCCACAAAGAGTCTGGGTGAGGGCAGGGATCTCCCTTCGTCTCTGAAGGTGACCCGGTTTCTTGCCACCAGACAGGTCTGGTGACTTTCTCTTAATGGGATCGGTCCTGGGAAAGGGACTCCAGTCTCTCAGCCTCAGCCTTCCGTGTGCCAACTCCAAACCATGCCTGGGTGCCCTACACTGGAAATGAGCAGACAAGAGCTGCCCTTAGGTGGCCTGCTGGGTCGAGGATGTTCACCTGAGGTGCCCTGCTCTGACCATGCTGTTCGTAGCTCCAGATGTAGCTGTTTTAGGCTGTAACCTCCCTCCAAGGTGGTTTCAAAACTCTCTGTCTATGGCATGTTAAAAAAAAAAGTTATGGGGTGAAGAGATGGTTCGGCAGTTAAGAGCACTAGCTGAGTCTGGTTTCCAGCACCCACTTGGCGTCTGACAGCTGTCTGCAACGCTGACTCCAGGGGTCTGATGCATTTCTGAGTTCCGTGGACACAGGCACGAGTGTGCTACACAGGCAAATATGCAGATAAAACGCCCATATAAGTAAAAATAAATTTTTAAAAAAGTTTTAAAGATGATGGCCATCTTTTCCTTAGTCTAGGTGTGATATTCAAAAAGTTTCGGTCCCACTGGGTGTGGTGGCCTACACCTTTAATCCCAGCACTCGGGAGGCCAGGTGGAGGTAGATCTCTGCGTGTTCAAACCCTAACAAAGTCCCTTTTGGGACTGCAAAAGGTTGCCCCAGACAGCCACACAGGTAAGAATGCCGAGTCCCACTGGAAATCGGTGGTTCCATTCCCCTCATGTTATCTTAAGTGTCGGGAAATTATCAGATTCCTCCCAGAGAGTTTCCTAGCACGCTGGCTTTGTCCTGTGTGTCCTATGCTGATCTCAGCATTGTTTCTATGAGAGGACTGAGAACTGGGGATGAAGGGGACACCCGCACAGCACAGAGGACGCTCCCTTCCAGACCCCAGGTTAGGTACAAACTACACCCAAACGCCTGTTTTCACAGAGAGCCTTTATTAAGCAGGGAGGAGAAGATGAAGTGACTTCTGCCTGACTGGGGCAGCAAACGGCAGCTAATGGCCTTGCAGGAGTCATTCTTTTTTTCCTTTGTTTTTTGGAGACAGGGCTCTGGCACCTCTCCTGGAACTCATTCTGTAGATCAGGCTGGCCTCAAACTTCCAGAGATCCATCTGTCTCTGCCTCCCAAGTGCTGGGATTAAAGGCACGTGCCTCCACCGCCTGCCTGCAGGTGTCCTCTTTAGAAGAGAAAGGGGAGGTCTGCGTTAGAAGGGGCCAGGGCTCTTTGTCAAGGAGGTAGGCACTGAGGGAGAAGGCAGAAGGCGAAGGGGACGAGGGGAAAGGGGCAGAGGGAGGCAGATGTGGCACATAGAAAAATGGCAGTTCATAAAGGTAAAGGGGAAACTGTTAGGATGAGGGGTTTCATTTTAATTGGGCGTGCTAATTAAGTGAACCAAAGGGGGCTTCTGATTGGTGGACTTTGGTAGTCAGCCTCAGGAGGAGGAAGTGGCTAGGAATGTCATCTAACAGTTATTAGCAAGGCAGAGGGGCTGGGGAGAAGACCGAGGCCTGCCAGAACCATGTGCTCAAGTGGGGCGAGTGTCCCTTCAAGGGCTTATGGCCATTTTTTTTTTCCAGCCGGGCATGGTTGACAACAGCCTTTAATCCCAGCACAGGGGAGTAGGAGGCAGGAGAATCAAAAAGTTCCAAGTTGTCCTCAGCTAGAGTGGGAGCCTGAGGCTAGCCTGGGCTACATGAGATCCAATCTAAGTAATAATAACAATTAATAATAACAATTTGAGTGGCACAGGAAAGACATGCAATCTAAAATTATCTAGAAAATATATCTACTATTTACTATGTTTTAGGTTTTTTTGAGATAAGGTTTCACTCTGAAGCCTAGGTTGGCCCGAACTCACTGTGTAGCTCAGGCTAGACTCCAAGTTATTATTCTCCTGCTTCAGTCTCCCAAGTGCTGGGGTCACAGGTGTGAGCCATCAAAGCCATCAAAGCCTAGCTTCTTTCTCTTCTTTGTTTCCTAGACTGGGTCTCATCAGCCTAGGCTGCCTTGAACTTGGTGTAGAGCAGAGGGTGTCCTTGAACTCCTCACCCTCCCGGCCCGGCCCGCCCGCCTTCCAGGTCCTAGTTTTGAAGAGTGTGCAGGTGACCAACACCAACAATACCTCAGAACCAACCAGGCATCTTAGGGAGCCAAGACCTTGTCAGGCCCCTGTGACTTCTTCCAGGAAAGCAAAGTACTCATCCCCAGGAACACACACGTGTGCACACACACACACTCATACGCACACTCAAACACACATACATATACACAGTACATATATACACATATACACACAAAACACATATCCACATGCATGCAGATACACATATACGCTTACACACACTCATATACATACACTCACACAGACATCCACACATGCGCATGCACCCACAAGCACGTGCACACATTCACAGACACAAGAGTGTTTGACATCAAATGTCCCAGGCCTTCCCAGGAAGCCTGAATTTCAGATGTTAGCATCAAGATGGCTCTTCTGACCAACCCCCCTCCACCACACCCCACCCATCCACTTCCTCCCATCTGTTGTCCTGAGCAACAGAGATGCAGGATGCAGTCATAGCCTCTGTTGTCCTGAGCAACCTGGGTCAGGCATGCTCATGTCTTTATCCTCAGGGTATTGCATGGAATCATATCTCTTTTACCAATGAAGCAACTGGGGCTCAGAACAGCTGCATAACTCAAGAGCCAAGGTTAGACCACTGCTCATGCTGGGCGTGGGACAGGAGCTGACTCTCAGGCCCATGGTCTTGGAACCACAACAGGTTCTTTTTAGGCTGTTCAGAAGCTGCCATCAGGCAGGACCCAGGTGGCAAGGGTTTCCTGTTTCCACACACTGTAGCTAAAATAGCCACACATATGTCTGTTTTGTGTGTTGGGGTTTCGTGAGTTAAAAATACGTTCAAGAAACATGCATTATGTTGTACTATCTGGCTCCTGCTTTGGACTTTTTTAAAAACCAAAAAAAAAAAAAAAAGAGGAAAAAGAAAAGGGCTTATTTAGTCTCCACACCCCAGGCCCCAACAGAAAGGAATCTTCTTCCGAGGACTCTGAGGCAGACCTGTTTCCGCTCCCTCGCCAAGTTCAGGTCTTCTTAACCTGTTTCCTCTCTGTTCCTGCTCTTCACCTGGTTCTGGGGCCCACACCATCCCCCACCTCTCCTCCGTGTGGGGTGGGGAGGGCAGGTTTGAGCAAGGTAGGTCTCCCTCTCAGGAGCCCCCCTCTCTCCACCTCCCTCCTGAGTCAGGAGCCAGGAATGTGTGTGGGGGCAGCAGACAGGAATGCCACCCTGAGGGTGGCAGGGCCTGATTCATCTCTCCTTCCACCCATCTTCTCCTTACAGGGCTGGGAAACCTAAGTCTGTCTGGAGATAAGGGAGCAACCTGGGCTCTCCACGGCCTGGAGTTAGATCCCTGAGTAGGGCGGGTCCTCAGCACAGCACACTCCAGGGCAGGCTGCTGAAGGAGGGGAGAGAAGCTGACCTAAAATCTCTCTATCTGACCAGAGAGACTTTCAGATCAACACAATGACTTCTGGGGTAACTTCTGAATGGGGGTGTGTGTTACATTTCAGTCTCTTCGCTGCCTCTGTGACCCACAAAGCAATGTGGACCTGAAAGACTGAAATATTGAAAGATGGGGAGATAGCTCCATCAGGAGGCCCTGAATTCACATCCCAGCAGCTACATAAAGAGCTCGTGCAGGAGTTCCGTCATCCTGGGGCTGCAGGCAAGAAAAAGGGGTCCTTGGGCTTGCTGGTCAGCCAGTCTGCAGAATCAGCGAGCTCCATGACAGTGAAAGACACCGTTCTGAGGGCTGGCAAGATGGTTTAATAAGTAAAGGCACCTGAGCCCCTGAGCCGGGCAGTGGTGGCACATGCCTTTAATCCCAGCACTCTGGAGGCAGAGGCAGGCGGATCTCTGTGAGTTCGAGGCCAGCCTGGTCTACAAGAGCTAGTTCCAGGACAGGCTCCAAAGCTACAGAGAAACCCTGTCTTGAAAAAAAATATTTATTAATTTGTGTGTATGTATGTGTGAACCCTATGTGGAGGTCAGAGGACACTTGTCTAAATCAGTCAACTTAGAGGACTCAGTTCTCTCCTTCCACTATGTGGGTCCTGGTGTCCAATCAGGTCCTGAGGCCTGGCAGCACCTTCACCTGCTAAGGACCTCACTGGTCCTTCATTTCTTTTTTCACTTCCAACTTTTTTCTTTCTTTTCTTTGATTGGTTTGGTTTTTTTCTTTGTGGCTTTTGAGCCTGTCCTGGAACTTGCTCTGTAGATCAGGCTGGCCTCAAACTCACAGAGGCCTGTCTCTGCCTCCTGAGTGCTGGGATTAACCAATATGTACTCTTAACTGCTGAGCCATCTCTACAGCCTTCAATTATTTTGAGGCCAGTAGCCCGGGCTATCCTTAAACTTGAATGTAGCTGAGGCTAACCTTGCTAAAAACACAGGCCTCACACACCCACTAATCCTCATTCTTTTTTGTTTGTTTTGCTTTTTCTTTAAGACAGGGTTTCTCTGCATAACAGCTCTGGTTGTCCTAGAACTTGCTTTGTAGACCAGGCTGGTCTCGAACTCACAGAGAGCCGCCTGCCTCTGCCTCCCAAATACTGGGATTGAAGGTATGTGCCACCCCCCCCCACCTCAGTGTAACCCCTCGTTAGTCTGGATGTTTGGAGTTGTAGGCAGCTCCCCAGCTGGAAGGAACACAAAGACTGAAAACAAGACACAGCACCCCAACTCTGGCAGGAGTGAGGCTGAGAAGCAATGCCTTACTCTAGGGTTCTTCTACGCAGGGCAGGAAATTGCGGTGGGCACCCCAGGTGTAAAAGAGGAGAAAAAGAGATCCAAAATGGGTCCTTGGTGCTGGGGTGGGCTGAAGTCACCCTTGCCCCCATGGGAAAGGGTGGAAACTCTGGCCAGTCCACCATCCCTTTCTCCTTTGCATGGCCCCCGTGGATAAGGCTGGGTGAGCACCAAGCCAGGAGTCCTTCTGAGACCTCCCCATGCCACGCTACCTTCCAGCCCCTGAGGGTCTCCAGTTCGAAGCTGAGGAACACTAATAGTGCTCAGCAGGGGTGGCCAGGGAAGGCAAGGCTACCTGTGAGCTGTCAAGTGGCATTTCTGGAAAGCACTGTGGTAGCATGACTCTAGAACCTGAGGTAGGAACGTCAGCAGCTTAAAAAAACAAAAAAAGAATGTGTGTGTGTGTGTGTGTGTGTGTACGTATGTGGGGGCACATTTCTGTCATGGCGTGCACGGGAGAGTGAGGAACAACTGAGTTTTAGATGTGTGCTCCATCACAACTGGCTTAAAATCTTTTTAAAAATACATTAATTTTGTATGTGTATGCGCATGTGTGTTTAGGTCAGATGAAAATTTGCCCGAGTCAGTCAGCCACAAGAATAATTTTCTCCTATCTGTAGATCGTGGGGCTTGAACTCGGGTCATCAGGTATCTGTCACCTACTGAGCCCATCCCACTGGCTTCTCCCCCCCTTCCCGGTTTGTTTGTTTTCTTCTACTTTTTAAAAATTTGTATTTTGGTGGGCAAAGTTGGCGAACGACTTTAATCGCAGTACTTGGGAAGCAGAGGCAGGCGGATCTCTGTGAGTTTGAGACCAGCCTGGTTCACATAGCAAGTTCCAAGATAGACAGGACTCTTACACAAAGAAACTGTCTCAAAAAAAAAACTAGCAACTCGCTTTTGCTAGTTTGCATGTGTATCGGAGTCAGAGTTCATGTAGCACAGGCTAGTCTTGAACTTGCTAAGTACCAAGAGCTGACCATCATCTGATCTTCCCACGTCTGGGGCTACAGATGTGTGCCATGCGGCGTGGATGAGAACGACTTCAATTCATTGAAGAAGAAAAAAAAAAGCATGCTTGCTGTCACACCAAAGCCTCAAAATAAATTATAGCTGGCTACCCACCCCCTCTGGGAGGGCGGCGAAGCTGCAATGATGCCTTCAGCCCCTGCATGTGGTTTGTCCTGGTGTCTTAGGGTCTGTGATGGGCAAGCATCAAAACCCATGACACGGCTACTGGCGTTCCCACCCAGACAAGGCATCTGCCCGGCAGCCTGGGCGTCAGGATTCCTGGGCTCCAGGCCCCACGAATGACTCATAGCTAACCCCAGACTGTGCCTCCTGGTCTCAGTTTCCCCGGATTGCTCTGTTGGTACCACCTACTACGCGGGGTATTAATAGGGGTGAGGCGCTTTGAACTCCTCAGATGAAAGAGGCTGGGGAGACAGCACCCGGTTATTAGCCCTCCACATCCTGGCGTGGGAGCTGAGGCTGGCCGCCCCTCTTCTGTTCTCGGCTATGGCTGCCCACACTGGGAAGCAAAGATGAACCACCTGTCTTCCTGCCACTTCCCAATCACTCTGCTGAACTGCATTCTCCTGTTGCCTGAGACCCACCATCAATTCAGTCGGCACCCATACACCACGTACAGATGTCTCAACTTTCCCTCTTGCTGACTACAGACCCCACGGGTGATGGCTGTAACTTTTTACATACACCAAAGAGGGGGCACTCCAGAGTCAGCAAAGTAAGCTATGACAGAGGCAGGCCAGTGACACTTCTACCTTGTCTTTGGGTTGCTGTAAGAGGCATGTGAGGACCCTATATGTGCATGCTCTTTGCAAAATGCCAAGCCCTGCATACACGTGGCTGTAATGGGTCAACAGATAAAACCTGGCACAAGCATCTGTTGGCCATTAGGCTCTCACGGATGTTAAGGGCAAAACTAAGTCTATAGTGCCACCTACTGGCTGAAAATGCAAACTGCAGGCCCCAGCCACACAGGCGTCTCCAGACAACTTGTCCAAGTAAACATTAAATATTTTCTTTAAACTTAGTTTGGACAAATCTCCTTCTTTAAAGACAGGGCTTCATATATCCCAAACTGCCTGAAACTCACTACATAGCTAAGGCTTCAACTCCTGATTCTATTGACTCCACATCTCGAGTGTTGGGATTAGAGGCACGTACAACCACATGAAATTAAAAGAACTTCGGCTTTTTTATCTTTACTTTATTTACATTGCTGTTTTGCCTGGATGTGTGTCTGTGTGAGGGTCGGATCTTCTGGAACTGGAGTTACAAACAGTTGTGAGCTGCCATGTGGGTGCTGGGAACTGAACCCTGGTCCTCTGGAGCTCGCTTTGTACAGCAGACTGGCCTCCAACTCAAGAGTTTCACCTGCCTATGCCTCCAGAGTGTTGGGATTGAACACCCAACACCTCTATCACCCGTCTAATCTTTCAAATATTAGCCCCAAACAGAACAAAACTACATAATTTGTAGGAAAATAAAGCAAGTCTGGCTAGGAACAGTCACCTGCGCATGCCTAACCTTAAGGCTCAGTTAACCCTGGAGAACGGCCAAATCACGCCGGAGCTGAGCTGTGTGAAACCATGACCTGGAGGCAGAAACAAGTGGGGCCGCCACGATGGCTCAGAAGGTAAAGGAACCTGTCACCAAGTTCAATAACCTGAGGTCAGCTCCCAGAATTCAGGAGAGAAGCAGCTCACACGACCTATCTATCCCCTGACCTCCACAGGTGTGCCTGCCTGTCACACAGACATGTGCACAAACACAAAATAAATGCAATGAAAACAAAACAAAGAAAGATGCAGGGTTATTTGCAGGGACAGAGACAATACTTTGTTTTGCTCCAAACCCCTGGTTCCTGAGTCTTGAAAAAAAGTTTGAAGACCACAAAAAGTAAGAAATAATCTCACATCTCAACACACCCCACTGCAGCCCCAACAGAGACAGTTCCCAACTTTCAGGCAGCATTTCGTGGGGGTAAGTCTCCAAGCTTGGGGCACCACTGAGGGTGTGATGTCTGGCTTTTTATCCAGAAGTCCTTTGCAGGATGGATCTTCCTCCACCAGGCTGGACACGGCTTTGGGTGGCGACCGGGCGGTCATCCAGGCCCAGCTGCTAGAGCTGCATGGTTTCCTGCTCTGCCGTCTGGTCCGAGGATGCTAAGTACTTCTCCTGGATGCCCAGAGTGCTGGAGGAAGGCAGGTCAAGGCTTGGGTTGCAGGCAGGGATGAGGGACTGGCCTGGGCAGGATCTGACCTCTCCTGACGACTGCCACCCAAACACTGTCCTGGTTCCCACAGCTGGATGTGAGGCCTTCAAACATCCCTTCCCTGGGGTTCCTATTTCTTCCCCACACTGCCGATACCAAAGGACCAGAGAGCACCAGCATCAGCTTTGTATGGCATATGCTCGAGACAGACCAGGGTGTTCAAATCCTGCCCCGTCGCTTCCTTTCCTCTTCTGAAGAGTTACATGAGAGCCATGACTATAAAATGAGCGCCTCCTCACCTGGCAGAGCTGCCGCAGTGACCACTGTTACCCCCTCCTCACCTGGCACAGCTGCCGCAGTGACCACTGTTACTTTCTTTTTTCTACAGAGAACTCCTATTCTCTGTTTGAGCTACAAGGGTCTCCTCCCTCCCTCTGGGACACAACACAGGTCAATTCACAAAGGGAAAAGAGCAGACATTGCTAACACTGGCTGCCCACGCGCCATCGCCTTGGTCCTCTCAGCCCTGGGGACTGCACGTTCTATCCTACCGTTCTAGCCACTGTCCCCATGGCCTGACACAGATCACTAGCTGGGATCATGTGCCTCCACCCTCAAGACTCTGGAATTTCCGTCTCCAGCATCCTGGGCAAAAGCTCTGTCTTCGAGACCATCGACCTAGAGAACTAGGGCTTTCCCGCCCTGCCTCTTGCACAGCTTCCGACCCAGGAACACACACATGGGTCAAAGCCAAATGCCCAGCTGCCTCTGCACCACTCTGGTCATCCAGCGGTGCCCTCAAACCTTTTTCTTTTTTCTTTTGTTTTGGTTTTTGGAAACAGGGTTTCTCTGTAACTTTGGAGCCTGTCCTGGAACTAGCTCTTGTAGACCAGGCTGGCCTGGAACTCACAGAGATCCACCGCCTGCCTCTGCCTCCCGAGTGCTGGGATTAAAGGCATGCACCACCACCACCACCCAGCTCAGCCCATTCCTTGTAAAGACAAACCTGTCCCCTTTCCCTATGACCACTGTCACTGGCTGTCCTAATCTACCTCTTCCATATTTTCAACACACATCTCTTTCTCTATTTTTCTCTTTTGCTATATTGTTTGAGATAGAAGCTTACTTTGTAGCCCAGGCTAGCCTCAAGCTCCTGCCTCAGTGAGGCAAACACTGGCTTACAGGCATGAGATTCCACGCATGGCTCCTGCTCTAGTTCCCCACATGCTCTGCCTGGCGAGACTAAGAACTCCGCTGCCCCAAATTACAGCCACTCAGTGCATTTTCCACAAGTACAGGACTCTCCTGAAATGTCCCTCAGCTCTCAGAGAATTGGAGGAAGATCAGGAGTTCAAGACCAGCCTGCACTATACAGGGTTATAGGCCAGCTAGGGGTGAAGAAACCCTGTGTCAACCTAAATAAAGCCTTACCTTTGGGCTGATGACAATACGTACTTCCCTCCACTCTGGTGCTGGGCATCAACCCAAGGCCTCATGGTAGCAGGCATTGTATCCTTGGCTACACCCCAGCCTCCATCACAGACCCATCTCCTTCCCCATACCCTGGCGCCTCTTCTCCATTTTCATGCAGGACACCAGCAAACTGAACCCCTCACACTCCTCCCAATGCAACTTCATCTCTAGGCTTCTGTGTCTGCCACTCCTCTGGTGTCCCTTCCCGTGTCCCCTAAGGATACGAGGAGAAATGAAAGTCGGCTCCCATGGCAGCGGACATCATGGCCTCCAGGCTTCGCTGCTCTTGAACCCCAAAACAATAGCCATTGGCTTTATCCACAGCCTGTAGGACTCGCTGGATGCTGTCCTTGTCCTGAGCAGAGAAGAGAGGGAACACAATGAGTAAATCAAGCGTGGAGGGCAGAGGCCACGCCTACTGCTCTCCTCTAGCTCCTCCCAGGACGATTTCACCTGCACTGTCCTTGGCCTAGAGGAGTCTAGCTGGCTGGCCAGACAACTGTCCAATTGTCCAAATTAGAAGAGACCAGCTCCTACATGCCGTCACTGCCTAGGGTTTTCTCCTTAGGGCAGAGCAGCAGTTAACCATCCTAGGATAACTGTCCCACTGCTCCTGCTAGGCCAACCAGCCTTCAAGGTCAGAAGTCAGTGAAGGGTGAGGTACTGTCAGTGTTGGGGACAGCACTCCAGTCAGGGAGGCACTCAGCAAACACCTCTGTTATCTGGCCCATAAGGATTTCCTCATCCTATACACCAGTGAGAACAGCCCATATTTCTCAATGAAGGATGCAGATCAGAATAACGCACGTGCAGCCCTCGGCACAGTGCTAGCAGGGACAGCTGCAGCGAGTGGTGGCTGGCACGCCCACGCTCTCCTGCTCGCCTTCTCGTGCAGGAGACAAGTGTGGTGTGAGTGCCAAGTCAGCTCAAGCCCCCCACCACAGAAAGGAACCTAAGACCACCGTGTCTCCCGGGTTAGCTCTGTCACAAGCAAGATGAGAGGCATGGAGATTGGGGGGCACTCTGCAAACTCATAACATAGGTGCACAGTGAAATGGACCCAAAAATCTGTCCCCTGGGTCCTGGGTAAGTTTTTGCTGTGACTCTGGACTCACGCTCGTTCATTTACACTTAGGGGGCATGTGCAAAGGGGCCCTGCAGAGTCAGCACCACAGGACTAAAGTCTGGGTTCTGCTTTTCACTGGGATCCTGAGCCCACTGCGCCTGGTCCTGAAAGTCAGCCAAGGACAGACCCAGGACGCAGACTGTTCCTGGAGCCATCAAATCTTCTTATGTCCTTGGCCCCTGAGAGCTGCAGCCACCGGGAAGAGCTATCTCCTATCCAATACCTGGATGTTCAGAGGGATAAAGGAGACCAGGCTGTAGTCTTCGACGAGCTGGACCAGCTTCTCATTGAGCTGACGGTAGTGACTGAAGAACGGGTCAGATGCCAGGTGCTCAAGCAGGTAGGAGAGGTCCAGGACTTCCGTGTAGTAGTCCAGGTTGAAGGCTGAGGAGAGAGGGCAGAGTCAGAAGCCACTGATGCCAGCTAAAGACCTCAGGACTGGAGGAGCTGAGCCGCAGCTCCCCGACAATGTGTTTAGCATTCGGAAAGGCTTGGGTTCTACTTCTGGCACCCAAAGGGGGATTAAAAACTGTAACCAGGGGTGGGAATTTAGCTCAGCACTAGAGCACTTGCCTAGCACACACAAGGCCCTGGGTTTGGTCCTTAGCTCTGGGAGAAACCACAACCAATGGACTTGCCTGGTATATATGAAGTGATGGGTTCTGACCGGGCACTGTGCAGCACTAGGATACAAGAGAGACCCGATGCTTGGGGCTTTATCTTGTTTGTTTCTGTCATTGCTTTTTTCTGAGACAGGGTCTCACCCCTCAGCTCTGGCTGGCCTGTCACTATGTAGCTGCTCAGGTGGCTTTCCCAGCAATCCCCTGCCTCAGACCCCTGCGTGCTGAGATTACAGGCATGAGTGCCACACTGGCTCCAGTACCTACACACACTAAATACTTGCTGGAGCAGTGAAATGATGTTAGCGAGGAGAAAAACATTTGCTGGGCGGTGGTGGCGCACGCCTTTGATCCCAGCACTCGGGAGGCAGAGACAGGATCTCAGTAAGTTTGAGGCCAGCCTGGTCTACAAAGTGAGTTCCAGGTCAGCCAGGACTGTTACACCCTGTCTCTCTCTCTCTCTTTTTTAAAAATTATTTATTTATTATGTATAGTGTTCTGTCTGCATGTATGCCTGCCAGCCAGAAGAGGGTACCAGATCTCATTATAGATGGTTGTGAGCCACCATGTGGTTGCTGGGAATGGAACTCAGGACCTCTGGAAGAGCAGCCAGTGCTCTTAACCTCTGAGCCATCTCTCCAGCCCGAAAAACCCTGCCTCAAAAAAAAAATAAATAAAATAAAAGAAAGAAAATGAAAAGAAATATTCTCTTGGCCTGGTAGCACAGGCTCCTCCTGTCTTATCTCCCAAGTACTGGGATTACAGACACACATCATCATATCAAAGGCCACTTGGGCTCCTTGGAAAGTCACTCCCAAAGATGTGTGGACTCTGGGCTGATCTCCCTCCATGTCCTGACTAGGCAAGGTCCCTTCCATGTCACCCCCAGCCCCCCTCCCTGCTCATATGCTAGACATTTCAGCTTTCTTCTCTTGGCTCCACGGTTTCAGATTTTTAAGGAGCAGACGCCATTAGCACAGCAGAAAAAAAAAATGCTGATCATCGAGACACTACCCATTGAGTCCTATGCATTCTTGCCACCTGAGGATGATGCAGGTATAAGTTGACCGACTACAAGCCAGTCCCTGCTGGGTCCACCCATGCCTCTGACTCAAGGCTTTCTACCCTCTAGAACACCTGCTGTTTGAGCCACCGGGGGATGGCAGTTAGTTTCACTACAGCAGTTCCCGCTAGGCCAACACTTCTGCCCCTAGTGGTCAAGATCAAGCCAGAACAGTCCTCCAGTAGGCCACTCCTCACCAGCCAAGGGTCAGGGTGCCAGGGCTCAGGGCAGTGAGCAGTTATCCACTCCTTCAGCTAGCCACTGTCCTACCACCTTGTCTCAATCGCTCTGTAGCGCTCCTCTGCGATCTCTAGCCTACTCCAGTAACTGGCACAGCGATGCACCACGTCAGGAAGACACAGTGGGGCAGCTTCCCTCCTGCTCCACGCAGGGACTCTTACCCAGCTTCCCATAGTGTTCGATAAGGTCCATCTTGGAGAGGAGGTTGACATGGGGCAGCTCCACATGCAGCATGGTGGCCAGGGAGGTGCACAGCACTGAGATGAACTTGCCTGGGTCTGTGCAGTAGTGAGAATCCACAAGATGGACAGCCGTCAGCTGTGAGCGGAAGACAGAGGATGAGAGAGAAAGCCGGACCGCAGTGGGAGGGGCTTCAGGGCCACGCGTCCCTTGTGAGAAGAGCAGCTTAAGGATCCAGCCTAAGCCTTCCTCAGCTGTGTCCTGCTTCTACTTCCTTGTCTGTGTGTGCTTGCAACAGGGCTTTACGGCCTGGAGCTCATGATCTTTCTGCCTCCACAAGCCAAGTGCTGGGACTACAGGCATGCGCCACTTTCCTGGGCTCTTGTATTTAATTCTAATAGCCAGCATCATGTCTTCCGCCCCGAAAATATGCGGGTTTTCTTACAAAGTTCCTTTGTTTCCTCCCTACTATGCTGGGGACCAAATCCAGGGCCTGTGGTCTCTGCTTGTTAGGCAAAATCTCTACCATTGAGCTAAATCTCCAGTCCTTCTTAAGAGGTTTCTTGCATAGCGCCCTGCAGTGGGAGACGGGTTCAAATCACACTGCATCTGTCTCCCTACTCTTTCACTACACATTTGCACACCAACAATTGCTGTAGCCACTCTCTAATATTGATCACTTCCACTTAAATTCCCCAATAAGGAACTAACACATTTATTCAAGAGATACAAAACTGAGCCGAGAGGACTTTCCCAGATCACGGAGTTGGTGGCAGAGTTAAAATTCGAACTCAGAGGCTTTAGTTCTGCTCCAAGCTCAACTCGGCCAGTATCTGGCAGTGTGACTTGGGGGCGTGGCATCTGCCTGACTCCCTGTCTCAGGGACTCCCTCTGTGTAAAGGGCTTGCCCGACCGAGACGCACCCTGAGGTCCCACTGTGCCATCTGGGAGAAGATATTGCGCAGGGCAGCATGGTGCGTGCAGAGCTCCACCTGGCCGGGACAGTCGAAGAGAAAGTAGTGGCCTCGGAGGGGCTCGAGCTTGGCGCGCAGCCAGTCCAGGTTGGCTTCCAGGTACTCCATGCAGTAGAGCAGACCACCGTTGGGGCCCAGGCGCAGCGCGTCCATCACGTCGCCCAGCCCCACCAGCTCGCCCACGTCCACGGCACACTCATAGGGCAGCCCTTCGTTGGCTGGGTCCAGGTTCACCACGGCCACGCGCCGGCCGAGCGCGCGCAGGAACTCACTCATGCCCAGGCAGTACGTGGTCTTCCCCGAGCCCGGGGGCCCGATCACCGCCTGCCCGAAGGCCGTGGCCGGGGCGGCCCCCGCCATGGCTGGAGCAGGTCAGCCCACAGGCGCCTCCCGAACTAAAACAAGGAGACTCACACAGAAAACTAGCAAACTACCCGGCAAGGAAGGGAAAAGCTCCGACTTCCGGACTCTGCCGGAAATGGCTGAGAGGAAGTCCCGCCCACACGTCAACGACGTTGGCAGGCAATGGAGCTGTAGTTACACCGCCCGCCGCCTTCCTCCCTCTGCGGTGTCAGTCTCAGGGTTTCCCTGGTTTCTCTAAGTCAGACTTCCGGGCCGGTCCAGACCTAAACTCGTTTATTGTCGTGCAGACCCGCCCCCAGCCAAAGGGTAGAGGTGGTGAGGGGCCGCCCGACCCCTCTGGATCAGTTCTTCTCTGGTCCCAAATTCTTTTTCTGACCTCGTGATGTCCTCCTTCAGACCCCAGCAAACCCAACTGGAATGTGCCACAGGCAGTCCAGATCTTCCTGGTTCTGGGGCGAGCCCAGACAAGGACTAGGGTTCGGAGACCACCCCAGGAGAGGGAGGGGCTTTTTGTGAAATCATCTTTGAGGTAGACAAGCGCAGGCGTGCTCAGGTATGAGCAAGTGAGCCTGTTTTGCAGACTCCCTGGCTCTTAGCTGCTTCAGAGGCCCACAAGGCAAGCCCCAGGCTGTTTCCTGCAGCCGAGTGACCCTGCCCCAAAGACCAGCGTCACTCAGGCTCCAGGGGTCTGTCCAAGGCACAGCTGGAACCCCTCACAAAAGTCATATCTGTCCGAAACTTCATGCTTGTGGGTGGCTGGCGTCGGAGCAAGGACTCTGTCTCGTCTTGGGGAAGAGGTTCATCATAGATTGTGGAAATGAGTCCCAAGCCAGTTCTACGGGGTCTCTTCAGTTGCCCAAATGGCTGTAGTTTCTCTCCATGGTACCTGGATCAAACAAGGCAAGCAAGGGACAGGAGTAGCTACTAAGTATCTAGTTTGTCCTGTAAGATACACTGTCTTGTGCTGATAGGGTTTGAACCCAGGGCCAGACCCCAACACCTGCAGTAGTGCCCGCCACCTTCTGGAGAGTCTGCCAACTACAAGGAACATCTTCATTCCCACAGCGGGCTCTCTTATGAAGCCCAAACTCAGACTTGAGGAAATGACTTTCCTGGGGGACCCACGACAGTTTTAAGTTACAGGATTTGGTCTAAAATGAACATAAAGAACTGTATCATCAATTTCTTCTACTTCTACTATGAAGTTCATCTTCTAGGGGTATCTAGCATGCATCCCCAAAGCAACAAAAAACCAAATAACATCATTGCTAGGTTAAGACTCTAAAGAGTCCTTCAGGGGTGTACTTACCCCAATCCACGTTTGCATCTGGGGTGCTGGCCATCACCTTCTGGGGCCTCAGGCACCCCGGAGCACCTACTACCCAGGCCCTGGCCTTCAGCCCAGCCCTGGCGCTCCATCACCTTCCGGCCAATGCCCTGCAAAGGGAAGCAGTGAGACTCAGGAAAAGTGGCTTAAGTTTGACAAGGTGGTGTGTGTCCCATCCATCACTTGGGAGACAGGGGCAGAAGGACCTGACCTCAGGGTCTGGATAGGCTACATATGGAGATCCTACCTCAAAGGGAGGGAGGAATGGGTGGGGGGGGGAGAGAAATGGGAGAAGGGAAGGAGAGGGGAAGGAGGGAGGGGGCCGATTCTTGGAGAACGCAAGAAAGGGGCGGAGCAGCGCTCCCTTACCTTGGTGTGGTGCTCAAAGGCGCCCACTTGGCGGCCTATCACAGAGCCATCTTCCTGGCCACCACGGAGTCTCTGTTCTAGGCGCATTTGGACATAGTCACGGGCGTCTTTGTCTCCACCATCTGAGGAACCATAACCCATTTTGTAAAAGGGTCCCTCTCACACCAGGAGGATCAGGTATCTGGGGTCCCCTCACAAGACTTAGGGATTAATTTTCATAATGCCTGCAATCTCTCTCAGGAGGCTGGGAACACGCATCAGGAAGCACAGTTCCCATGCTGCACACGAGGAACTGCTGTGGGCTAAACTCTTGGGAGCCAGTGAACATGTATTACCCTCAGTGGTTAATAAGAGCTGACTGGCCGAGGGCTAGGCAGGATTTTTGGTGTAGAGAGAACACTGGAAAGGAAGGAGGAGTCTCAGAAGTCCCGAGGAGACAAAGAAAAGGAGGAGATGAACTTTCCATACTGAGATAAGGAAGGTACCAATCCCATGGTAGAACATAGAAGTGGGTTGACTGAGGTGGTAGGAGCTAGTTAGGAACAAACTTAAGCTGTCAGCCAAAACACCAAAAATAAATTTAAAAAAATATATCAAAAAAAAAAAAGGCATTCAGACTAGTCTACATAGTGAGTTTTAGAACAGTCAGGGGTACACAGACTGTCTCAAAACAAAACAAAAACCAGAAACAAAACAAAAATCCAGGTCATTTTTCCCTTCAGAACTACAAGGTGACCAAAGGCCAAGCTTTTATTTAGAGCCTGTTTGTTCAGTCAGCCCCCGAGGGTGTTCCCAGAGCCTGCCAGCCAGCAGCACCTAACTACAGGCAGTGAGTATGCACAAGCAGAGATGGTAAGTCCAGTCAGCCTGTTTGTACAGGTTTTGCACCTACAGATCAACCACTCTGAAACAACTCAGAACATAACTGCATCTGGACCAACACACAGACTCCCCACCCCATCATTCAGTCTCTCTCATGTCCCCAGGGCAGGGATTCCAAGCTGTACACCAACATAGCTGGCGAGTAATTCTTTTTCCTGGTGCTGGACTTGAACCCAGGGCCTCACATCTGCTAGGAAAGTACCACTGGGATTTTCCCCCAGCCCTTGCTAACTGATTTTGAGAGAGATTACTTACAGTGTGCATGAGGATGTATGTAGGTCTATGCAATTACACAATTGCGTACGAAAGCACCTGCAGACCTTGGTGTGCACGGGGGTTCTAGAACCGTTCTCCTTGAGCACACTGAGAATGAGTGCACAGTGCCTCTAGCTCCCTGATTCAACCTCTGCCAAGCATGTGCGGCTAGCATACAGTTACATACATATATATAACATACATATAGCACCAGTTCCTCCCACAACTGCCACCCCCGCCAGTACCTTTGTCGTAGTAGACACTCATGTCCACGTCCCAGTCATCGGCCGTCTGCTCGTCAAAGTCTACAGGGATAGAAGCATGGGTTGAGGACTCGGACGAGGAACCCGACAGAGGGGCTTGCACAAGCCGAAGGTGCTCTACTGTGAAGCTCTGTGCCCCACCCCAGTGACTCCCAGCTGTGCTTCAACCGAAGTCCAGGGTTAGACAGACATTCTAGGTGCTATCCCAATTCCTCATTCTAAAACAGGATCAACAGTTTGCACTTAAACAGGATGGACACCATTTCCTAGCTTTATTTAGACTGTCGGGCAATCATCCACTATATGGAGCAGAGAGGCCGCTACCTGGGTTTGACAGCCCTGGCATCCCCACCAAAGTTCATGTGTTAACAACTTAGTCTCAGACGCAGCGGGAAGTAATGGGAACTTTAAGAGGTGGCGCTTCATTTATGACCTTAAAAAGGACTGTGAGACCCCGTCTCTTCTTCCTTCTCTCTCCCTTGAGTCCCAGTCATGAGGTGAACAGGCTTCCAACCACACTGTGCAGCCTCACCACAGGCACAGAAGCCAACTGCCCATGCCAGAGACCTCCAATCCGAGCCAGCACTCCTCTCTTTAAAAGTTAATTCATCTCTGGTATTCGCCACAGTAACTGCAAGCCTTACCTCCTTCTTCCTCCTGCCAGAACTGAGCATCAGTGTAGAACACCAGGCCAGAGCCGCCCTTCTCCCACTTGAGCTCAATCTCTTCCTCGAACAGCCGCTCGGTCGTCCGCTCCTGCCTGGTCACGTCCTCGTGCAGAGCCTCATGACGCTCCCACTCCTCACACCGGTCATCGTCCTGGGAGAAGGGGAGGAAGGGGTGACCTGTGTGTCTGACTCCAGACCGCAGGCCTAGGAGGAGTCACAGGGCCCAGCAGGGGACACGGGACCTCGACCACAGCAAGTGCTTTCAGGCATCTCCAGAAGCAGTGCAGCTGGACATTGAGACCTTGATGACACCTGCTGCCAGCCCTCTGCTGCTCACCCCACCCCACCCGCTCTCAGTTCTGTGCTACTGACCACAGTTCCTTCTCCACGCCGCTTCTCTGCTTGCGCAAACCCTCAGCTGAGTCCCCAGCCTACACAAAGCCCGCTCAGTCTACAGCTCTCTTTAGTGTGTAAATCGGTGTACACCAATTAAGCCTTTCTCAATTATGTCATCTCCTGCCCATCCTATAACTAGGTTCCTGGAATAATCCCGGTGGCCCTGTGAGGCAAGTGCTGTTACTTCCATTTTACAGGAGGGAACCGAAATCAGAGGTAAGGCTGCCCATAAGAGCAGCCGAGCCAGCAGGCAATCCCAGGCCATCTTCACACAGCCTTCCACACTCTTTCTTTCTTGTTTCAACATTTAGGTTCTTCCAGGGCAGAAAATGGATCATGGAATGTCTTTGAGCACTAGTTCTTACTACAATGTGCTCAACTGGACTTGTGGAATGACAGGATGACTCTTGGCTTGACTCCCCTGGGGACCTATGCTATGGGATAATACTCTTGTACAATATAAAGATTTGTCACTTGTACTGGTTTAATAAAACACTGATTAGCCAATAGTCAGGCAGGAAGTATAGGAGGGCAAACCAGAATAGGAGAATTCTGGGAAGAGGAAAGGCTCAGTCTGTAATCACTAGCCAAACATAGAGGAAGAAAAATGAGAATACCTTACTGAGAAAAGGCACCAAGCCACATGGCTAAACATAGATAAGAATAATGGGTTAATTTAAGTTGTAAGAGCTAGTTAGTGATAAGCCTGAGCAAAAGGTCAAATAGTTTATAATTAATATAAGCCTCTGTGTGTTTATTTGGGACCGAATGGCTGCAGGACCAGGAGGGATATAACTTCTGTCTACAAATCCTGGCCTGGCCTTTGCAAGAGACGAGCAGAGGGCTGCACCTACTCACATCATCAGAGTGGGACTCCTCTTCTTCCTGCAGCCCTTCATCCTCAGGCTCATCCAAGAGGCTGGCTGGTGGCTCTTCCAAGAAGGTTTCCTGGGGGATCTCCTCC